AATCGCGTGTCACCGAACGATCGCCGCAAAAGGGATTCGAAAATCCCGTCGTCAGGATCGATGGTCAACCTGGAGAACTTGTCACGTTCGACCAACGACAATCGCGATGGTACCAGATGGCTTGGGCGCATCGCGTGCGCTGTCACTCCAGCTGACGTGGGGTCGCACCGGAAAAGCTCTGTGGTCGAGCCTGAGAAACGATCCTTCCGAGATTTCATCCAAACCCTTACCCTTTCATTTTTTCATCAACTCCAATTTAGATTGTTAAATTACTCCAATTCGTTCATTATTTAAATCTCAATCTCACATCATCCGATTTCACGCATAAACATGTCGAGAGAATCTTCCTCTATTTATTTCAAGAGGAAGAGATTGGATTTAAATAGAATTAAATTTAATTCACACGTCACCTCCATATTTTCGTATCAATTTATTCCCTCCGTCGATGGTTGATAATTTCCAACGAGTTGACTTCCCGTCAGACTTCCTCGAGGTAGTCCATCACGTTCCCAAACAAATACCTCTGCTTCATCGACCTATATCTTGTCCAGTGCCTTCCCCGACTATTAAATTCGACCATGCGTCCCGAATTTTAATAAGGTGGCAACGTTTCTCCGCACGAGGCACGTCAACGTATAAATTGATTTACAAGTAAATCCTCTCGTCAAAGTGTCCGCTTCAATCTTCACCGGGCAACAATGTTTATGTGCATCGTCCAGCGTCCGCCTTCCAATTTGCTACTGAACATCGATCCTGGGTGTTTGGTCGAACCTTGCTTTCCGTTTATGAGATTTAATAGTGATGCATCACCGTAGGAGATTGAAAAATTTCTGGGCCGGGTGGAAGAGTTCGAAGAGTTCTAGTCAGTTTTTTTTTCACCATACGTTGTGCACTGTTATTTTTACAAAGACAGTGAAAGTGAAAGATTCGTGCTTAGTCTATGATACCATATAGATTCTAGAATTCTCTATTTTTGTGACAAGTGCTTTGAGACCTTTATATTAATTCCAGTTTAATGACAGAGTCCCACATGTTCCCTTTTAAATGCAGGATAACCGTAGTTTGAAATGGCGTTTCGAATGAGAGTCAATTTAAAAGATAATCGCGTGACAGGATCAAAATGAGACACCTCGTGCATGCGTGCGCGTGAACGCGTTAACGATCGCGTAATAACGATAAAGGTGGGCATGTCTATTGTCATTAATGACTGTTAGGCTCGTTCCGGACGGCATTACAACGATCTCATTAGGCACAATAAAAATGCACCTTGGGGACGCCTGTCATCTGGAATTTCGTCGCTTTCTCTGAAAAATGAGGAAGCAGAAAGATCTCTTTTGGAAGAAGCTATCACGAGAAAATGGAAATTTCTTTTTGAATATCTCTTCTAAACTTCTAAACACTTCAAAGAAAATGGAATTATTTCTTCCATAAAAATTGCAAACACAAAGCAGAAACGTTGCAGCTGCACTCCTCGAGCTCTCCCTTGGAAGAATCTTCGTACAAATTGGGCGCTCGTCTACGTGGGCCAACGATTAGAAGCACCGTGGCGATCGACACCGCGCATCGGGATCGATAGATCCCCGGAGAACGATAAAGTCCTGGTTCCTCCCAGCGGCTCCTCGCGCGATTCAGACCGGATGGGACGCGACATGTGCACGACGCCGAAATTACCGTGGCGATTTTTATCTGGCCGAGATACGAGGGGCCGATATTCACGGTTCGACATGGAAGTTCGCCTGCGGCGTCTGATTAAACGACCGAGTGGCCACGCGCGTCTAACGTGTATTTAGAGCGCGCTTATACGCCATGAACGGGGGACCAGGCCCACGGTACCTGCTCGTACCACGACGATTAGCGAGGTATACCCACGGAGGTCAACAAGTTGGTATAGAAATAATGGAAGATACTCTATCAGGGGAAGGCGATAAATTTAATTCTTGGAAATTAAAGGGGTCTTCTCGACAAACTTTGGAGTGTTGAAAAGAGGCGCGAGTTCGTGAATTTTTTTCTGTAACATCGTTGTCGATACATACTTCAAACTTTGTGAGTTAGTTGGCACACATTTCAGGAAAATGTGTGAATTTTTTTTATAATGAAACACGTAAGAATGTTCCTTCTCTCTGGCTGACGATGCAGTACATTTCTCGATGCGATTGGCATTCAGAACTCGTTGAGAGATTATTTCCCACCAACGACGTACATGCACGAAATGCACGTATCACTGGTTTTGACCAATTTCAAGCAATCGGTTACGATCGAGTGGAAGTCACTGTGGGAAATAATCGTACCGCTGCCGGCGATCAGAAACGGTTTTAGGAACTAATAAATGCCGGCTCGAGTCACTGCTAAATTGTTCAGAAGCTGTACGTACAATCGAATGCCAATCATTCGAACACCAATTATCCAGGCTGCCGACTATCCCAGGTATATAATCAGGAATTCTCGTATTCGAATGTGGAAACCGTTTCGTCAGTACGATGGAACAGGTATATTCTTTGTCATTACGCATTTGAATAATCGGTATTCTACTCAATATCGTTAAGATGGAAGAACGTAAGTCTTCGACTCCTATTTCCGCCATTGTCGATAATTTTCGACGATTCCTTCTGTCAATTACTCCCAAGAACGAGTAACCTTAGCGCATAATAGTACGCTTCGAAACTTACTCTGAAACAACTTGGTAACTTCGTCGTTGTTACGCTCTTTCTTACCCTAGTTGCAGTGAACATTCAAACCTTCGCGACCTACATTTTTCTCTTTGCCTGTTCTCTTCGAGTGACTCCAAAACATAGACACGAAGGCTAATAAATTGCTCGCGCTAGACCGAGGGCTCGTTACTTTCTTTAATGTTTACCTTGCAGATAAAAATTCAATGAACGCGAATCATCCAACCTGATAGCGATCAATGGATCGCAGGTGTTCTGACACGAACGGTGTACTTACGAGTCAGCAATGTGACAGGCTTCGACGGTCGTTTTCGTCACGTGAACTCGATACGCCGTTATAACTTTGTCGTTATCGGCTATCGACGAGGTGGGGTTATAATTGCAGGGCAATTTCCGCTATGACGATGATCCCGAAAACTGGCAATTTATTGTCCCCCTCGATGTCATGCGTTTCCTCGAGGCACCATCGATCAACTTCGACTCCAGGAAGAGCGTTTTCGCGGTCTTGTCGCCGCATCGAATTACCGTCTACACTCTGTACTTAAAGGTTCACCGAAAACCGTTACTGTTTGCACTGGCCACTCTATCCATTTTTAATAAGCAGATTGTTTTAAACTCAACATGAACGTGTAAATTTCTTGGTATAACGGTGGCGCTCGACACGTTAGAATCTCGCGATTTGCATAAGGCCCTTCGCCCACCCTTCGCAACTTCCAAGACGTGTTCCAACGTCCTCGAGGAAGATTCCTCAGTCACGATTCTGTCCACATTTTCTCAACCATACCTGACACACCCATCATGGCGCATTCCGGCACGAAGGGATAAATCCAGGAGTTTCATTGTCACGGCTGCAGCGAAGTAGCCGCATGAAACGTATGGTGGGGTGGTTCGAAGTGGCAGCATGGTGGTTAGGTCGCGACGGGGGTGTGCGGGGGATCGATGGGCGAGCCAACGTTAACCGAAGACCGCCTTCTCGTTCTTTATCCCGTTTTCTTCTTTTTCTGCCTCGTCTCCGGGTCCCCCGTATCCTCCTCTTCTGCTCTCTGACCGTCCATATACCCGCTTCTGCTGCCCTCCCCCTCCAACCCTCGTTCTCCCACGCTACACCTGTCGTGCGCTGTTCGACCAGCTCGGAGAGGTGGCAGGAAATTTCTACTTCCAAGGAACATCGCTCCAATTGACACTGATACTCTACCAAATGACACTCTAGAACCTTCTTCCGCCATCAAAACATCTATCAACTCTACCTCACGAGTACCCTATCTCTGCGAATCGAGTTTAAACCGTGAGTCGCATCCCAGCGAGTTTGGATCTCACGTGCAGCCGTTATTATACGGTCAGGTCGTGCGTTAGAGGTCCAGAGAATCGAAGGTGCTAATCCAATCTGCCTGAACGATTAAAGGTCGGCGGTGAGTTCCGTGAGGGAGGCCTGGGCCATGTTGCGAGCTGGCCGACCCTGCGCAAGTATAATTAACCATCCTCTCATAGTGCCGGCTGGTGAACCCCATCGGGACACTTCTAATTACCGTGGTCGAGTGTCAGCGGACCTTTTCCCCTGTTTGCAACGGAATTCACGGCTCTGTGGTCCGTCACGAAATTAAGGCAATCTTAGCAACTTTTTCCCTTCCTCTGCAACGCATTCCTCTTCTTCTTCTTCTTCTTCTTCTTCTTCTTCTTGGTCTGTGGTTCCTCGTGGCACGAGGATTGGTAGGCGTGCGCGTGTACGCCCGCGAGATCCCTGATAAACGAGCCATCGTCCCTCGTTTCGAGAGGATTTTTTTTGCAGGAAACGAGGTCGAGCGTTCGAGGTCGTAGGCGGAGTCCGCGGTTTTTCATCTTTCCGAGGGTCCCTTCGCGAAGAAACGGTGTATCGATGGGAGAAGTTACATTGGTGTTGTGATAACAGCGTTTCGTTAATATCTTGACCGGTGTCTTGACCGGTCAAGTAATAGGAATCGATGATTCCAAATCATTGTGCTCAGAAGCTAGGCAGGCTAGGTTCTAGGCAGATTGTTTCTAATTTGTCTTACAACAAAGTTAATATGAGGTATAATATCCTATATCGATCTTACCTACAGTTGCAAGCATCTTCTTCTGGTATCTTTTACTTCTTGGCGTTTCTATAATCGTAATCTCTCGAAGATAGAAGATAGTCGAAAAAGAATACATATACAGAGGATGGATGTAAGAATAGATGCTCACAGAATGGAAGGATTGTCCTGTCGATGGTCCATGAGGTTGGAATACGTGATAGAGTTTACCTTGAAATGGAAAAGATTTTTGAATAGAGGACGCACGTGTAGGAATCGGGCTCGATTGATTTCGATAGGTATTTATTTTCATAATGATGAGTGTTCTTTATAATCGATCTATAATATCATACATCATAGCATTCGGTTTATACATAATTACAATTGTAAATCTGGTTCACCCTTAGGAGTGTAATTAGTAGTGGGTTCGTCGTGTGTCGCGAGCTGCCATACGGCGAGGCGAGAGTGTAAAACGTAGACTCAGGCGCGTAGAAAAAAGTTCATCGTACTCTATTTTCGTTCCCGATTCTGTGTCCTGGCCATGTCGCTTAGAAAAATCGACGCGGAGACTACGTAAACAAGGTATACAACGTATGTACAACCGAAAGAAAGAATCAACGGCAGGTCGACGACGCCGCCGCGTTCGTTGAACATATTACTCGTTACTTCGACTCTATGAGAAGGAAGTCTTCGCGGCAGTGCCCGCTACTGGCCGCTGGTACAGTGTGTGTGTCTTGTAGGATTCCTAGGAAACAATAAATAAAATCTATCTATTCTCATTTATCTAACGCGAGACGATGTCCGTCACGTTTATTCAGCCCTGCGCGGTCCAGAGTTTCCGATTTCGGTGCATGTTTGTCGAGTCCTATCCGACGTAGGACCGCGGAGGGTTAATGGTCGATGCTCGTCCTCTTCCTTAATCCTCTGTCAGCCTCGACGCGTTCACCGTTGATAGAAATCTCGAAAAAGCGTCACAGGAGCCGGCTGTGTTTGAGTATCGTTGATATCGGTACCGGTGTTTGGAGCACGCCACTTGGCAACGTCAAGTTTAAGTCGAAAGTAATTTTGAATTTCTTTTCCTTTACTGAAAAATAAATGCAAGTCGTCGAGGGTTCACCAAAATGGCGTGCCCAACAGTGAACGCGTCGACGCTCCTAGCTGCCGTTTAAGACCCAATGTCTCTCCTCGATTTTCCAGGCCCAGGTCGGTCCGCCATTACAAAACTATCGCGTGTGTCTCCGTGGGAGATTATCGTGTCGCGTCGATAGCTTAATTGATTAATTGCGCGATACATCGAAAGGTACTATGTTTATATATACAGCAGTAGCGAATGATTACTGATTAAATAGTGGCATATTTACTAAACGTTACGTTATCACAACGATGATAAAATCAGCGGCGAGATCGAAACCGTGTTCGACCCCCTGCTCGTTTCTCCCCACCGCCCACCCCTCCGTTCTTAGTTCACTCGATCTTTGATCGACGGTGGTGGGTACAACGGAATCAATTGGTCACAGGTCGACCAGCTCTCTGTTATTGGTGCTTCGTGACACGCGGACTGGAACGGGAACCTCCTCGATATACGCGGATGCACCGCGTCGACTAGGTGTCCTCGAATCACGTGACGTAGACATGTGACTCGACTACGAATCATGCTTTGGCGTCCTCGAGAATCCACCATCGTCACTTTGAATTTTTACACCGCGTTATTTTTATTTTTTTTTTTTTTTTTTCGTTTCGCGTACTCTTTTCCTGTTCACGGAAAACGTTACCATCTTCGAGCCAAAGGAACATCGTCGGAATTCGGGGGCCAAGCGTTGCTGCGAAGTGAATGAATTTTTTTTCGACTCCAGCGCCGTGACTGAAGACTTCCGAATTGACTAGATTGTGAGCACCTTACGTTTTACGAAAATCAACTCGAGAACTGGGAAAGAATACGTCTGTGGTGAATGGTCCCAAAGGAAAGCAACGCGTTTGCTATCGAAAAGTCTTGGTAATTCGGATCCTTTTCATCTGAGATGTTTGGAGGTTGAAGGATAACAAAATAAGAAGGAAAGGGTAAAATGAGTATTGGTACAGTCGAATCTAGATAGGAGCTAGTTGTCGACGGGATTCATAGGATCAGGATAAGTTGGAACTTTCGTTGGGAACCACGGAACCGCACTGTTGTTGGCAATGCACCCGAAACCGGATCGTCCTGCTGTCACACGAAACGACAGGAACACGCGCGGCTAGATCCAATGGACGCGGTGCAGCGTTGGGAGGTGTCCCGTTCGATATTGCACGTTTGCATCGAACAACGAAGCCGGTGTTCAGCCGGAGTCGCGAGTTTCCGGTCTGCCACCGACCCTCTTTAATCGAGATCATTGGCGATCGGTCGAATCGTCAGAATTTTGGCATCACAGTAGGGGGTAATAGTCGCGGCCGCAGAAGGGGATCGGTCACGAGCCACTGGTCGACAGAACCGGTAGATCGCGGTGGGCCTGTGGGTCTCTCGAGTGAGCGTCTCTGACTGCCCTGGAACCGAAAACTCGATCGCAGCCAGGCACTGTACACCTGGCCTCTTCCTTTCGATCCTCCGAACCTGGCGAGGACAACGGCGACCCCGAACCAGAGGCGTGTCTGTTCCCTTGCTCCTGGGACATCCTGCTCAAATGGTTCAGATGCTGATGGGTCAGCCCGTTCAAGCCCGCCAGGTGGGAGGCGAACGAGGACAGTCCCGAGAACGTAGCTCCCAGGTGCGGTGGTAACAGCAAAGGATGCGGAGGCGGTATTCTTGCCGCGAGATCGACCGCTGACGGTAGTCCTGAGGTCAGAGGGTAAGCACCTAGAGCCCCGATGCCAGCGTCCGCGTATAATCTCGCGAGGAACTCGTTGTGCAGCAAAGGATTCATCTGGGAGTCGTCCACCCTGGGTGACAGGCTCGGCGGCAGACTCGAAGACAACGGTGGACTCGACGAGGTAGACAACAGCTTTCGATGGAGGTTCAGATTCGCCGAGTGCCTGTCGCGAGACCTCTTCGAGGGAAAGGCCGCGTTGCACCCGTCCACGCTGCACCGATGCATCAGCTTCAAGTGGACGTTCTGATAGTGTGTCTTGACCCCGAAGTGATTTTGAAACACTTTGCCACACGCGGTGCAACGACGAGGATTGTCACGGTCCAACGGCACCTCCTGGGTGCTGACGAATCCCCCGTTTTCGAATCGAGCATACGTTATCAGGCTATTGTCCGTATCCATGGCCGCTGTGGAGGGTGAGGCGCTGGATGAACGAGAGCCATGTGAGGAATTGTCCATGGTGGTCTCCTGGTGCGTCGTGAGGCTGACGGGGCTGGTAGAGCCGCGGCCAGACCTCGAAGCCACCCGCTGCATCCCGGTGTACTGCATCGCGCGACCCTGCGACAAGGACTCGAGTTGACGCAAAGTGTTGGTCGAGGAGTCGTGGGAGAGGTCGTCGGCTGTCGTCGGACGGCTATCGACCGAGCTCGGGGCACGGGAGGGATCATCGGGACGCTCACCTTCTTGATTACGCAGCGCGTCGTTCACCTCCTCATCCTCCTCCTCCAACTCGACCTCCTCCATTGGTTCCTCCTCCTCCTCCTCCTCCTCCTCATCCTGGTGTTCCTCTTCCTTTACTTTTTCCTCTGCCTCGGACTCCTTCTTCACGAACGCTCTCGTCGGCTCGTCCTCCCTCGTCGTCTCCTCGCAATCACTTTTCAGTCTCTCACCTTGATCCGAGGAGTTCAAATCCTTCGGGGCGATCGAGGGTGCTGGGAGGGCGGCCTCCGCGGAGCGAGCTTCCGCCGCGTCGTGGGACGTCTTTGGTTCGGGACTGATCTGTCTTTTAGGCGACTTGACGCTGCTCGCCCTCGAGCTCAGATCCCGCGGCTCGTCTTGAGGTAGATCCTCCCTGTTGTCCTGGGAGGAGACAGTGTCGCGTCGAGCTCCTCCGATCGATGCCGTTTCTCTGTTGCCGACTTCTGGCGAACGGGAACTCGAGTCTTGGTCGTTAAAACTGAGATTCTTGGGGGAGTTTGGCGTGGTTTTTCGCTCCTCCGCCTCCAGTCGCGACATCGACATGTCCTCTGGCTGACTCTGGAAGTCGTTCAGCGACGAAACGCCCGTGTTGTCTGTTATACAGCGTTGTTTGAGTCGCTCCTCGTCGTTGGACGAATCCCCGTCGGTAGACGACGAGTGCATCTCGGTCAGAACGGCGCATCGAGTAGGATGTTGGGACTTTCTCTTTCGAACGCCTCTGCTGTGCATGGACGTCGAGTTCAACGAGTGTTGGCTCATGGAGAAGCTGTGCTGGTCGACCGTGCCCATCGAGTCGTTGTCTTCGTTGCTGTCCGGATTGCTCACGAGATCCTCGTCCGCGGTGTCGCCGAAATATAACTTTGGTCGCTTCGCCAAACTGAAGTCTGCGGGTTGTTCGTCGTCTTCCTCCCCGGACCGTAGGGGCAGCCTCGATGGCAAGTTGCTCGTGTCGTCCTCCGCGACCACCACGATGCCACCGTCGTCGTCGTCGTCGTCTTCTTCGCCCTCTTGCGCTGCTGTCGAGGCCTGAGTGGAAGGGGACACCGTGTCGGCCGCGCTGCTGCTCGAGTAGGATCCTCTGTTTGTGACGGCGGTGCTTGAGGTTTCTGCGGCAGTCGTCATCGCCACGGTGGCAGTAGTCAGCACCGTCGTTGTCGAGAGGTTCGCGCTCGCACTCATGCGCTGCTGGAGCGTGTCTTCGTACGGTCTACCTTGGCTCTGGGTGGAGGACAGATCCAAATGCTTGAAGTCCAAAGCGCACAACGAGGCAGGCGATCGAAGGTCAGGCGGTGGAGTCAACAACGGGAACGACCCGAAAGGTGAAATGTGATTCATCCCCGTGGCTGGGACGGGTAGGCCAACCTGAGGTGGCAAGACCAGGGCGTGCGCCATGGACGAGCGACCGTCGTGTGGCGAGATCTTTCGTCGGAGATGAGGCGAGTGAAGCTTAGGGTTAGGATTGGCGCTGTGTCTGTTTCGCGACCTCCTTGAACTGAACATCATGCTGCACCCTTTCACGGTGCACTGGTGCATCTCCCGCAGGTGCACCGCGCTGTAGTGTATTTTCAGAGCCCCCTTGTCGCAGAAGGTCTTCAAGCAGACGTTGCACTGCACCCTCTTCTTACCAGTGGTTGGATTGATGAAGGGTGTGCCGAGATTGGGAGGTATGTTGACCGATCCAGCCCACTGGCTACCCGGTCGTTTCCCAGGAGAATGAGGTTTTCTTCCAGGTATACCAGGAGGCCTGCCCAGAGGGGCAGCCTGAAGAGGTAGCGACGGGTGATGTCGATGCTCGGCGGCGTGCTTGGATGCGGAATCGCGTCTGCTGAGGTTCAGGGCGCTGTCCGAGTTCTCGTCGTCCTCGTCGTCGTCCTCGGACTCGAACTCGCTGTTCTTCTCGCCTCCGCTGTGGACGTCCGAGGGAATCGTCATGCCCGCGACGCACATGGAGGGCTTCCCCATGGAAGGTGGTGGAAAGTGAGCAGGAAAACTCGGTGGCAGAGCGCCAGAGGACACCGCCACAGACAGAGGATGACCGAAATTGAGAGCAGAAGAGGAAACAGGCGCCACTGGTGGCATGTGATGCCTCTGCAAGTGATTGCTGCTCGAGTGATGAGGCGGACTGTGAGGGCTCTGGGGGTTCCTCATGGATTTTCTGCTCTGCAGCAGTTGCTCCGTGGACGGGGGCGGCGGTAGCGGTGGAAACGCAGGGAGACCCAGGGTACTCAGCTTCCTGAAGTCGAAGGGCTGCATGCTCTGAAGTCTGTTGAGCGGCGACACCGTCAGATGGGGATCCAGACTTCTAGGAGGCGAGTTCGCGCTACTCGTCAGCCCGACGGAGTTACCTCCGGAGGACGTGGAGTAGTGCTTCTGGGCAGTTGGCGACATAGACGGATGCGAGACGGATGGCGGCGGCGGCGGCGGGGGCAGAGGCGGCGGAAGACCGCAGTGGAGGAGGTGCAACGAAGGCGGTAGGTGTGCTAGTGGCATCGTCGGCGGCGAAGGTCGTCTGCTTGGTGACATAGCATCCGTCCCCGGCGTCCCGGCGGCCAGCAGCAACTGCTGCACAAACGGACGCGTCTCGGCGAACCTGAGGAACTGCTGCAACACCAGCGGCTCCTCTTCAGGCGAACAGATGCTCCATCCGTCCAGCACCGGGCCGTTCTGCAAGTCCTGCGGACAAATCATGCGATCGCGTTAGTTCAAAGTGTAACGTGTAAATAATAACCTGTAAACAAAATCTCATGGGTCCATTTAAAAAAATGGCAGTGACCTTGATACAGTCTCAGCATCTGGACCAAAAAGTTTTGTACACGACATCTTTACAAACTTCAAGCAGAATTCTATTTCCTATTAACATGGAAATTTCTCATACCATCGAAGGTAATTCTGATAACACGATACACAGGTATTAATTATCGTTGTACACAAATCGATGTTTACCGTTCGATACTATGTATCAGATTGTAAAAAATTCCCCTATGTAATTTTGTGTCAGGCGACTCTTTTCATTCAAATAAATGGGACAAAAGGTCAGAACGAATTGAACTCTCTTTGGCAAAGTCGAGGACGTGATTATCGGTGAGAGAAAAAAAACGTGGAGAACAAGAAAACCTAATGTGTCATGGTCTTCCGTCATTGAAACGTTACGTAAACAATCGGTTCACTGTGTTTTTATCAATATCACTATGTCGCGGAATTACTGGATGATTGACAGCACAAAGTCAGAAACTATATTACCAACTACAATTCTACGTTCGTTTACATTGCGTTATTCTATAATTATCCCGTACCGCCAGGAAGAAAAAAGTTGATACTACTGTTTCCTGGCGATTTTGTTGTCCCTAATCGCTATGAAAAAGCACGATCCAGCCCAGCTGGCGCGACCAGCGCACGATCGTTCCGCGTTCGGATAAAAATGCTTCTGTTATTCCACGTGGAAGGCCGTTTGCGTCACTTTGCGTACAATGTACGATTAACAGGCGCGGATCAATAAATAACGAAATTAATTCATTCCATCTAGTAACGCACGCAATCAGTTCTGCTTCAGTTGTCGCGACGAGCTAAGCGCCGCGAGTCTATGTTACCAACTAACGTCAAATTCGATCGAGCCTAAGTCTCGTTCCTTTAATCGGTTACGATTAAAACCTGCTCGAACGGGAAATTAGGAGCAAGTCTAGCACAAATGTTAGGTCTGATGGTTTTTGACAGTTAGCTGCGAAAAACGAGTAACAACATTTGTTAGATAACACTCACGCGTTGTAAGGTTGCAAAGGGTTGGCTACTTTATTGTATAAAGTAATTTTTAGGTGAATATATACTACTATTTTAAGTAGACTGGAGAATGTTACGAAACGTCCACTCCCTAATTACATTACAGTAATTAGAAAGTCGGATCGCGAGGAACGAATCGATGTTACCCGGTCGATCCTCGATCGAGCCACTCGGTAGTAAGAACCGAAAATATTATCACGCCCTGTTAATCGATCGCTAAGAAGTGCTCTTGACTTTCGATGCTGCGTGGCAAAGAACAGGTGTATCGAAATCAAGAACGCGAAAGAGAAAATCGAGCGAACCGCGGAGCGACCTTAACTGAATTCAAGTATCGCTACACTTTGACTAACTAATTTCTGGGAAACAGCAAATTCGTATTAGAATTTTAATTTATTGAGAAAAAACAGAAGCAATTTATTATTTTAAAAAATTAAGACACTTTCCCATTGTCGAGGTGTTAGCAATCTAAATAAGCGAAAGATTGATGTTTCTTGTCGATCGTGGAAGAAATCGGATCAATATCTGAACGCGTTTCAGGATAGAAGAACCAAAAGAAAGGTTGTAGACTATTTCTTGCACTTGTTACGAGATGACACCTAGTTAACTCCCGTTCCCGTTGATTCTCATCTAACTTCAATTTCCATGAAATTGATTCAGTTCTGACCTCTGCATAGTAAGAAAGGAGAGGTTCTCAAGTGTGACGGTCACTTTTTAACGGCCTTCTGCATAATAATAGGGCTTGGAATGCCGCAGCTAATAATATACGGCCTTCTACGTGGACAGATCATAATTTAGGAGACATCCAGTGTTAACATTGTTTAGTTAGTTATTCCATTAGTTTGGAATTGCTATACTTTATAGATTTATTTAAAAAAATTCCCAAACATCATCTTGTTTTTAAGACCTTACACTAGGCAGTCTCTTTAAATGCATTTTTTAACTATCCTGACCAAATTTGACTAGTTTTAGCGACGTTAACCCACAAAGACCTGTTCAATATTTCGGTCGCGGTCCAGTTTTTCGAGGGTTTACCGCTCGAACGTCACGTATCGACTGTCGGAGTCACGGGTTCTTCTAAAATCGGGGTGGCCGGCGTATATAGACCGGGCCGTAAGCTTGTCTCTCTCGCGGGTCTTGTATATTTACGCATACCGACGGGCTCGACGTAACGCAGGACGCCCAGCGCCGCGACGCTTTTCGCCCGCGTCCCGTGTATATTTCTTCAAGCACGCACACGCGGCCAGCGAACGACATACGGCTTGCGTGAACTCACGGCCGACGCCACTCCGAATCCGCACCAGCGCCGAAAGCGTTCGCGTTATTTTTCGCGCCCGAGCTGCTGACCGCAGCCACCGAAAACCGCTACAACAGTAACACGAGACAACCGCCATTTTCTTCTTTGTCGCGAGGACCCAGCCTCGTTTTCGTTTGCCTACCCTGAAGAACGGTGCACGGTCTTGTCGTCCATAGTCGTTCGCTGTTCCGCGAAATCGAGCGTCTTCTTCAGCATCGCGGTTCCTTGGATACTTGGTTCCTTAGCTATGGAAGATTTATTCGTTTGTTTTTCAGCTACCGCCATAGACGGTAGGTGTAGGAATTTACTTCTGTGACTTTAGATTCAGTCGTTTTTAACTCTAGTTTAGATTTTTCAGTGCTATGGAACTTAGGAGTGCTTTCTTTTCTCAGTGTGTTGTTTTCTTTAAATTGCATTCAACGCTAAAGTAATGTTTCATTTAAATCTTACATATATTTCAACTGACAACATTTTTGTTTCCACAGGCGCTTGTGACACCTTGTTAGACGCAAAAATAATAGAAAGTTCTGCCAGTAAATTGCACGAATTATAGGTATCACGAGAACCGATCGGTTCCTCGAATTTTGTTCTCCTAAGAAATTATGGGTAATTAATTTGTTGACCCCACCCCAGACGATGCTACAGTTGGCGAGGAAAGGTGGCCTGTAATTTCGTTGCGAGACTTAAACGGTGGATTACGGGACACGTCCCGGACACGAGGACGCTGACCCGGCTGAAAACTGAATTTTAAAAGCAACAGAATTTTAACACGGTTCCGTAAAGTGTCTCCATGGAACACTGTTAATAAATTGAGAGAACAGAAAGAGAAACAACACGAAAAACTCTCTGCTTTCGCTAGCGAAACCAACGCATTTCTCCTCGTAGGTAGGGATCATTTTTGCAACGAGTCTTCAACGTTTCGATAAGGAATATCCTGATAAAATTTGGCCGAAAATCTGGAAAACAAACGTTGATACAGCATCCAAGATCAACAATTGTTTTCCGTAAAAGAATCCAGATACCGAAAATTCTCCAAACCCAGCGTCAGACTCGCCCAAAAATGCCAACCGCCATCGTCTCTTTCTGCGATTTGCAGTTACGTTCGCTAAATATAATACCGTTCGTCGAAACCTAGCGCCGTGACGCCTTGCGAACTCGTCGATCGTCGAACGGCTGCTATTATTCAACGAGCGAAAGTCGACGTTCTAATTGCGACGCGGACGCGCGATAATGAATTACCGAACAAGAGAATTACAGTTAGGGAGTTCGACTAGATTCGTATTATAAGTCATTGGAAAACGATTCCTAAACTTTAGGTAAGCAGAGAATTAATTTCTAATTATAACGCAAAATGTTATGGTGTCCAAAAAATATCGCAGCCTGTTACGAATAAATTCTCAAAGTGAATTTTGTTTTGTTGAGAAGAGTATATCGATGGATAGCGTAGATCGAGCTTTACCCGTTGAAAATTATGGCAATGACGACGCAAGAGCTAGCGTGACACTCCTGGAGGCCACGATTTAATAGTTTTTTACTTCGTCACGCTTCAAATTGACCGCAAAGAAACTCTTGTATCGCATTCCTCGATCTTTTCTTCTGTTTTCTGTCGTCATTCGTTTTGCCTCGACTGCTTCCTCTTTACTTAATGGCAATTAATGGGAGAAGCACTCTAATCCATATCCGTTACAACAGCAACGCAAACAATTTAATGAAACAGTTTCCAATCGATGTATTAATCTGTAGGCGAGTAATCAGAATTTCTGTAAACGAGTACGAAGAAAAGAAGAAGTCTAGGTCGTTGCAATTAAACCTTGGACTATTTCGATAGTCGAATATTTTATAAATTTTCAAGGGCTTGAATAATCGTAATAATAAAATCTCCTTTTGATACTCTACGAAGAACTGAAGCGAAAGTTACAGTTAAGGATTGAATTGGCACCGTCGTAAGATTCAGGAACGACACTTGTCTCTGGGAAAACTCGAGTCGCCATTGATAAAAACCATCCGTTCCCTCGAACTCTCCACTTTCACCTTTAAACGTTTGTGACTAGGAAAAGAGACACTTTTTTTACCAGGTAGGTTCCAGTGACTCCAAAAACGAAGGAATTCTGCGTTTCTTCTTCGACTCTCGATCCTTCCTCGTTGTTTTCCCACGCGGATTTTCCTCGCCAGGCATAGCGTTCGTCTCATGACTAATCATCGCGCGTGTGCGTGACCAGAAGAGGCCCCCAGAGCGAAAAGGTGTTCCGCGAAACGACTAAACTGTTCGTCGTTACGCGAAAGGGAACGCCAGGACCTAAACGGTCGTGTCTGAGAACGTGGAGCCACCGTGTGCACCGTGGGACTCGAATTTCATTCCGCACGCGAACGTACAGATTCTACAAATCTGTAGCGTTCAAGGTAGAGGAACTATCTTGGTCTGTTGGGTAGAATACACAGGCGAAGTTCGTGCGAATAGTTCGGGAAGAATTCGAGGCGAAGAATGTCTGCTAGGATCGGTTATACTTCACAAATGTGATCTGTACGATGGGTAAAGTTTTGTATAATAGTTTGAAGGCAAGCTTGAAGGGAATTCATTATGTTGAATCGATGAATTGTATCGTTT